TTCAAAGCTTAAAAAATCTTTCATCTATTGTCTGATAGGGATTATTCTGTGATTTAGAAAATAAAACAATTCAATGATTTTTGAAAAATCTAAGGGTAGGGCCAGCAATTGCAAAGTGGTTGAACTTGCAGAATGGGTAAAAAGAATAACTATTATGGGGTATATATGAGCTATACTTTTTATACTAATGGAGTAAGTCAAAAAGTGTCCTGTTACATTCTTTGGTACTTTATTGTCACTCAGTTAGCTTTAAAACGTTTAATTCCATCAAAAGGTAATACAAATTTATTCTAGAAAATGTGAGAAATGTAGAAAATAAAAAATACAATAATCTCATGACTTGAGCTAGCTATATTAAGCTTTGAGATATATGCATTTATATCGATAGTGGTTTTGAAATTCATGTATCTATTATTTCTCCAAAAATAGCACATACACCGCATTCTCTTCTTTAATGTGCCTTTTCCCATTTACATGTCAAACTTTCTTTTCATTATCTGTTAGTATATTCTATAAAATCACTTTAACAGCTATGTGGTATTCTAACATATGGATATGGCAAAGCTTGCTTTACTAGGCCCTTGAATTTTTACTTAAAAAGATCAAGAAGGACTGAAATAATAATTTCTTTGGCTAAAATCTGTGTCCATCTAATTGTTTTTGGAAAATAAATTTCAAGACATTCACGTGCTAGGTTCAAGGGGAGACAGTCCTAAGACTTTATAGGTACTGATACCACAGTCCCAATGAAAATTTGAAAATTTCTAAAATAAACACAAAACAAGAGAAATGGAAGGGATGGTTGTATTTCTAGACGTCTTGCCCATCATCTGCCTCCCCTGTGGCTCATCGTGGTAGCTTCTAGAACCTGCACTGACCAGCCAGGGTGCTGAGACAGCGGTAGAAGGAGGAGCACAGACTAGGAGCCTGGACACCACCGTCCCCTGTTGCCCCCCAGCACCAATTGTTATTATGAACAAGATATCTGACTCTCTGAACATAAATTCCTCCATTTGTGGGATTAGGAGAACCGCTAGGTAATTACCAATGACCCTTCATGCTCTTATGTTGGAAATGAAAGAACATTGATGGAAATGTAGGTGAAATATTAACACGCTACTTTGAACTGATTTTGGCTCCATGTATTTTCTTTCCCTCTCATTTCCACCGCCCTGTGGCTCGTCCCTCTTCCCTGCTGCATTTTGCCTTCTCTTATTTCACTCTAAAGCCCACTCTTGGACACGCTTCATTTGGGTGGCTAGCAATGACCCAGCCTTCTTGAGTCATTAGGAATTAGAAGCAATCTCTCCCCAATGTACCCCTTTGCAGTTTATCTGGAGCCTTTGAAATGCAAATCACTCCAACCTGCAGCAAGGGAAACTGGACTTTCCAGGACCTCCAACTGACCTCGCTACCCTGCTCCCAGCTCCAAGTAGGCAGTCCCAGGCCTGCTTCCGAAGATCAAAGGGGCATTGTTCCTCTAAAGTTCACTACCAGAAAACCTAGATTAGTGAGTAGTTCCGCCCCCATCGGTTTTAATATCAAACCTCTGTTAAGACAGGCAGGATGCCGGGGTTCTGGCCACTGGCTCTGAGCAGGTCAAGAAAGAAGTTTCTGTGACATCTCAAAAGAGGGACAAGGTAAAGTTGCTTCTCTAAGCTCTTGATGAAGAGCAAATCAAAGTGGCAAAGAGTGGGGACTCCTGCTATGAATACAGCCATGTCCCAGTGATGTGGGCGCCACTGATTCAGTGGTGTGTCTGCAGTCTCCTGAGCTGGTCTGGACTGGCCAGTGGGGGTCAGCCAGCTCTGGCCAGCGGTGAGTGGATTCTGATATGCCTGGCCACCACAAGCTTCCATGATTCCCGGCTGGGCTGGCTGGGCCCGGGCCTGCTTTTTCTAGTGAATCCCTCCTGGAGTCCCGCGAAAATGATAGCAAAGGAATGCAAAAGGCACCCATCATAGGACAGAGAGAACGGGATAGGTGGTTATCGCAAGGAGAGCGCCACAACAGTTTAGAACTGGCAAACGTATGGATTCACATCATGTGACTGGGAAGAGAGAAGAACAGTAAATCTAATGTCCTTCTGTGGAGCAGCTAGAAATAAGTTGATGCAAACCCCAGATCCATGGAAGTGCTCTACACTGGAGGCCCCAGTTTTCTCAGCAGGTGGGGATTTAGAGTGGGGCTAAACCTGAAGGATTAGTTCAGTCTTCATAAGGAGCATTTAGCCCTCCCGAAGCCCACTCACATCATGACACAAGGTTGAACTCCCTCAAGAAGTTTAATGGTGGAACTTGTCATCTTAGAGACACCAGATAGAGCTGAAGACAGGATGATGTTTGTTTTGAAAGCAGGGGGAAAAGTGAAATTAAAAGTACACAGAACTGAGAGCGAGACAGCCCCCATCCAGGCTTCTGTCTGTTCCATCAGAGAGCTTGGAGGTGATGAGGGATGAAGCCATCGAAAGTGAAGCAAGCAAAATGAGGCCCTCCTGATGGCACAAGGGGTTAAGACACAACCTATGAAGCTATCTGCAGCCACTGCACCACGAGTTCGATCCCCAGCCAGGGAGCTACCCACATGGCGCGGCAGACCTCTCCTGACTCACCCGCTGCTCCCCTCAGCAGTGTATTTCAGCCAATCACTCTGTTCTGTTCCCCACTCTGTCTCTGGTGAATCCTCTCACCCTCCACACCTCTGGCCTGTACCCCAGTTCTTGTATGCATAAATAAATAAATCTTTAAAAAAAAAGAAAGCGAAGCAAGCAAAATGAGGCAATGGTTAGTGCACAAAGGTGGCAAGACAGGAAATATAATGGTAGCATAAAAAGTGGCTGTACTATAAACATATTGACACAGGCACAAAAATGTGAGTGCATTTTTTTCATTTAGCTAAATTCATATGCTTTCATTTCGGGAGAAATGGAAGGAGAAGAGCTGGGATTATCCTGTAGATGAGAGGTCATGGAGAGTGTGCAAAAGGACCCAAATCTCAATTCCCACACCAAGACATCAAGACAAAAATCTAAAAGAAATTTATCAAGAAAGAGTGTGATGAAGTGAGGTGATGAATATACCAACTCATCTTACTGTCATTAACCTAATCATTCCACAACATATACATGTGTCAAATCAACACCTTGTACACCTTAAACTTATACGGTGTTATATGTCAGTTGCATTGCAAGAAAGCTGGAGAAACAGAAAATGCAATCATGCTATCTTATGTAGTTGAAGAGAAGACAAGAGTTGCGTCTTGTGGGTGGGAGTTGGGGTAGGGAACTCAGAGGCAGAAGAGTGTTGGTTGTCATCAAAAATCAACAACTTTTCGGACTGTTGAAACTAGATTGAAATAGCCCTGTGACTAAATTTAGAAACCTATGACAAGAATTCTGGAGAATGTCACTAACAAGGAAAACTGTGATTGATTTTGACTATTTCCCCTGCTTTTCGTGTCTGTTCACTTTTCCAAATCTATTTACTACTTCATAAAAAAAATTTAAAAATGAGTCAATAAATGCAAGTGAATAAAACCCATCCTGTTTACAATTTTCAATAAGGTAGTGGAAAAGACTGAAAAGAAAGCAGGACCCACGATGGAAATTCCCAGAGCCGGGAGCCGCTGGCACTGCTCCTGCTAGGCGGTGCCCGGGAGCAGCCTCCTGGGGAAATCACTCTGGGATCATTCCAGAATGGAAGCCCAGCCCGGGAGCCTGAGGTCTGTGGACTCCTCTAAGGGGTAGACCTTTAAAGCCTTGCCATGGACACCCACGGACAACACCACCAGATTCCTGCCATTGTTCCCAGGACCTGCCACCTCTCCCATTTGGTAACTTCAGTTTTCCAGGCCTCTCTCCTGCAGGAGGGAAGTGAGAAGTGACCTGGGGTAGGTGAGTGAGAAAGGAAATAAGAGTTGAGTTAAGCTGTTCTAAAGAGAACTTCCTAAAAGTTTGGGGGGGCAGGGAGAAAAATGGGTCCTGCGTGCTTCTGATCTCACTGAGTTCCCCAAATAAGTCACAATCCCCTTTGACCCAAAAGGCGTGAGGAGGAGTTGAGACAAAATCTTTCCAAGTTCACCAAAGTCAGAATTTAAACCTAGGTGTCCTCCCGCTGCCCTTGCCTCCTTTCTGCTCTTTGCCTTCCTTGGTTATTACTTTCCTTCCAATGAAATTTTCATGGTCCAACACTTAATACTGGTCTGGAACTTCAGGGAACTTACACTCTCGTAGGAGGCCTGGAAAGTGAAATTAAAAGGTGGATAATGCACAGTGCGCTTTCAAATATGCATTAGGGCTGAGAAGCGGATGAAATGGGCAGCAACTGGACGAGGCCGGGTGGGGAACTGTAGAGTCAGTGGTGAGGGAAGCCTCTGAGGAAGCCATTTGAGCTGAAACCTGACGAACTGTGCAAAGATGTAGAAGCAGAGTGTTTCAGATACAGACAAGGGTAAGTACAAAGACTGTGCGATGAAAGTGAAGAAAGTGTTATCTAACACCACACCCAAAACCTTCTCCCCAGCTGTGCCGAGCAGGGACCTGAACACCCTCAGTGATAGGACCCTCTGCTCTGTCCCGAGCGGCATTCCCTGGAAAGTCAACTAGGACAGTGAGACTAGAACACAGGAAGATTCCTGGGATGAGTTCTTGTAAGGAGTGGAGGTAGCAGGGCCAGGCAGAGGGAGGCCCTTTACACAAGCATCCTGACCTTGGCATAGTCAGGTCTCAGGGGGTGAGAAATCTACTATCTTTGGAAATGAAAGTTCAGTCATCTCCCTGCCCCTTAATGAAGCCTTGGTCATCACACACTTGGCCTTCCCTGCCTTTGGGTGCAGGGGATGATTGTTTCTAGCTACCAAAAAAGTCCTCAAGATTCACACTTGACCTTATTGATGCATCACCCCCACCTTCCATTGTCTCTGTAAAATGCATCAGTTATTTCTCAGCAGGAGTCACCAACACCATTGTTCCTCCCTCCTGCCAGCCTGTCAAATACCTGAGATACCGCAGGCACATACCCCTAGCCTGACCCTGGCCTCCCTGGCTACAGGCCCTCCACCCACGTTCATCATGGAACTTCCAACAATGGGACACTCAAGGCCCTACCAGTGATGAGTGACAGGATCCTCCTGGCCCACTGGCTGGCGAGTGACCTGACACCAAAATCCCAAGTAGAAGCTGCTTTCTCCAACCATGGCTGGCACCACCGTCTCTGAGCTGGAGGTGTGTGTACAGTAAATTTATTGGGGTGCCCTCTGGATCACGCCTGTGGAGCTAGTAAGATTGGCCAGAAGGAGTTGAACTGCCACACCTGCCATGAACAGGGCCTTAGCTAGTCCCACAGGGAACTCATGAGTTGGGACGATTTTTTGGGGGGAGCTATACCCTGCATCGATGATTGCATCAGGCGCCTTCAGGGGAGGGAAGCGTATCTTGGAGTGTGGCAATGACCTTCAGCCAAGGGCAGTGTCCAGGAAAGACTCCACTGGAAGCCATTGGTGGCTGGTGAGGTGAGTGATTTGGTCTTGAGGGGCTCTGGGGGAGCACAGGGACAGCCATACCGCCCCACTTTGGACACTTCCAATGCAAAGAACAATTCGCTTCCTTTCCTGCAGAATCAACATCTGGAGGCTGAGAGCCTGAAGCCCATTACAAGTAGCAAAAGAATTTGGACAGGATGCATTTAATCTTGAGTTAATGGTACAATGCTCTGCCAAGATAAACTTCTCAACCTCAACATATTTTATTTTGAAAAACTGTTATTGTCAGGTACAAGGGAAATTCCTCCGCACTTCGGCTGCTGTGCCAGATGACATAATCGCTGGATGGGGCCACTTGTTTGGCTGCTATCTTTTTCATCTGAGTAGATCTTCCCCCACAGACCCATCTCCCAAAAAGCTGGCTGCAGTTACTAAGTAATTCTAGCCTCTGACAGCTGCAGGAAAGGGAAAAAATGTGACTTGAAAACAGGCATTTTGGGATGTCACATTTCTAAACACCAGCTACATTGGGTTTTCCCACCACTACACCGCTACCCCTGCTCCAGATTCTGGGTGAAAGTCAAGAGGAAATGAAAAGAAGCACTTTGAGCCTCATTGTCATGCTTTAGAGTTTTACTGAGCACCTACTATGTGACCAGTGGGGGTGTTGTTATGAGAATAATGACCGCCATTCACTGCCTGTTATGGGCCTTGTGCTCCATGGGGTATTACCTTTAACACTTTGTAAGGACAAGTGAGGTAGGTGAATGTAAAAATTATCCCAATTTTCTAGAAGGACAGATGGAGACTCTGCTAGATTAGGCTACCTAACAAGTCAATGGTGAACCCCAGCCAGTGATACAGGCCTTTAGCTTTAACATTCAAGAGGTTTCCATTCATCACGGCATCTGGTAAGCAAAGGAACTTAGTAAAAGCATGGGGAAGGAATGACTGAGTCACCTGGGCCACGGCAGGGGAGCAAGGGGGGTGGCAGCTGGCTTCAAAAGAGTCATAGCCTGGGATGCTTCTTGGAAAGGTCCCTGCACTCTCAGGGATCTCTAGAGCTCCAGAACTCGCCAGAGCTGTCATCAGCAGGCCTGTCCCCAGGCAGATCCCTACTGAGTGTGCCCTGAGCACTAGGTTCTCTGCCACAGGAAAGCTGTCTGTCAGCCGGTGGCGGTGTTAACTCTCTGGGCAGAAGCAGGGAGTTTGCAGTCACTTCTATGGCCTTAGGTCTTTCAGCCCCACCTTTGGGTGCTCTCAATCAGGGCTCAGGAGAGCATGCGATAGGGGCAGAAGGGAGGGTCCCGGAGCCCAACTCCATCCCAGCACGTCAAGCATACAGCGGGGCTGGGAGTAGACACCATCTCTGTCTTGGACAGGGGTCAATGTTGGATCCTGGACGCATAGTGGCTTAGACATTTTCCACCCCTGCCGCTGGCCAGGCTGGGGTCACCAGTTCCACTTTAGGTAACGAACGTGAGGCTCAGGAAAGCTTCCTGATTGGCCTGGATCTCCCTCCAGTGCCAGAGGAGAGTCTCCTCCAAGCCTGCTTTTCTGTCTCCACCCCCACAGTGTCTGAACCAGAAATCTAGGAAGGGAAGGTTTCCACTGGTGGAGAGAAGACAGGCTTGGCGTGGAAGAGCTGGGTGTGAATCCTGGGTCAGTAGCTGGGTGGCCTCGGGTAAGTGACATGCTGAGTCTCTGAGAGACTGTTCTGTGGGTGAAAGTCCATCCCAGTCGTGAAGAAGTTGGGCTTATACCATTTGCAACACATCTCCCCCTTTCTCCCCTTCCTGAAGGCGTGCACTGATTCCCACACAGACGTGCGATTATGATGATGCAGTTATTTTTACCTGTCTTATTCTAAAAATAATTTGGCAGCTAAGGCAAAAGCAAACCCAAACCAGAAGTAGGAAGCTGTCCCCTTGCATCTGTTTCTCCCAGGCATTAGCACAGGTGGGTATTTCTTCTCGAAAGGGTGGGAAATGCGGGAAGTAGAAGGATTCGTGTCAGCAGGTGCTGTGCTGGCTGAGAACACGGCCGAGAGGGGCCGCAGCGCCCGGCGTTTCTGTCTGCATCCTTCCTCACTTTCACCTTCTTCTCCTGGGTGCTACGCCTCGCCCTGGTCTCTGTCGGGTTTACCTCTGAGCCATTTTCAGTGCTCTTCCCTCTCCCAAGAACACTCTTTACCAGACAGTGGCGCGCCTGGCACTTCACTCACCCGTGCATTCAGCACTGTCACTGTCTCCTGCGGGGCCACCGCATCCTGACAGTGCGCGGCCACATCGCCGCAGGAGAAACAGGCACACACACGTGTAAGATGTGTGTCTGCTGCCGCTGCTGCGTGCTGTGATGAGTCCTGTGATCTGGTGTCTCGGGGGGAGTCGAGAGGGAAGTGAGGGAAGGTAGTGGGGGGAGTGGGCTTCAAGGTGGGAGGAAATCAAGTGCAAATGCCGGTGGGAAGGACCTTGGAGTCGTGCAGGGAAGGGACTAGGATCCAGGTCCCCAGCGCCCCTTGCTGGGCTGCCTCTGGGGGGCTGAAGGGAGGCAGGCTTGGTTGCTTCGGGACGGTGTCCGGCGCTGACATTCTAGGATCCGGTGTTCTGAGGCCTGGCCAGCTGGACTGGGAAGGGAGGCGGAGGGCGTGAGGCTTTCCTGATTTGCACACGCACACAGACACGGGTGCACCAGGCAGACCCCTCATTGCCGACTCTACCAGAGATGGAAGCCCAGCTGACCCACTCTGAGCCAGCTGCCAGCGAGCATCTCCCGCACCCCACCCGCGCCGTCTTAGCTTCCCAGAGTTGCCATAACAGAGAACTACAAACGGGTGTGTCCTCAGGGTTCTGGGGCCCTGAAGTCTGCTGACAAGATGCGGGCAGGATCAGGGCCTCTGCAACGCTAGGGGATCACTTCTGGCTGCTTCTAGCTCCTGGAGGCTTTCTGCAACTTTGTGGTTTGCAGCGACGTCATTCCGGCCTCTGCCCTCATTGTCACATGGCTGCCCTGCCCCCTGTGCTGTCTTCTGCGCGTGGGGACACCAGCTGTGTGGGCTTGGGGGTTCCTCCTCCGGTAGGATTTCATCTTAGCTCACTGCGCCTGCACAGGTCCTGTGTCCAGATCAGGGCACGTTCAGGGGGACTGGAGTCAGGACATCAACATGTCTTTTTGGGGAGGGGCCGAACTTAGTCGGGAGACTCACACCACGCCCAGGAGGGGGCCCTGTGGCCTCCATGGGTCTCCCCGATGGCACCCCATAGCCTCTGGTGCATGTGTCAGATGAAGGAGATTTTCCTCTTCCCACCCCTCTCCTCTCCCACAAATATTTATCGAGGGATTAATCTATTCCAGGAACGGTGCCAGGTCCTGGGTGCCCAGCAGCAGACAAAACAGATGGTGGGAAAGGTTTTCATGACGTCAGCCTTGCCCACGGTCCTGGGTCCCCTCTGAGGCCACATAGAACACCCTGGGGGCACCCTGAGCGTGTGCGGTAGGTGGCTGAAGACAGGGACGGTCCCCCCAGGGCCTTCGGGTGGAACACCTTTGATTTCTTCATTTCTTTTGATCTGGTGCTCAGAGGACATTTGTCCCAAGGGGGAGTCACGAGGGACGTGAGGGAAGGTAGTGGGCGGAGTGGGCTTCGAGGTGGGAGGAATCAAGTGCTAATCCTGGCGGGAAGGACCTGGGAGTGTGTGCAGGGAAGGCCCACGAGGTGGCTGGCTAGTGGGCCAGACCGGGCCAGTCTGGCGAGTGACAGCGGCCACGGCAGTGACACAGAGGGGGCAGGTGTCGACCAGGAGGGCCCGGGGGGAACTGAGACGTACGGTCCCTTTCGGGGCCTGGCTTTCCAGGTACGTCTCTCTGCAGGCTGCTCTCTTCTGGGGGTTTTGTCGTCTATGTGTGTTCAAATCATTGCTCCCTGAAGTAAGCGCCATATGTGTCTGACATCATGGAAAAAAATAATAACTGAGGGGATGGTTTTAATAGATGTGCTGACACCGTATAACAGAGGCCAGAGGGAGGCTTTCTAGGAAGCCAGGGGCAGAGGGAAGGGATGATGAGCTCTTTCTCTGAGAAGTCGGTGGCTTCACAGAGAAGCTGACGTCTGAAAGGGACGGCTGGTGAAAGGACGTCTCCCGAGCAGAGGGGTGGGGCATCCAGAATGGGGGCCCTTGCTGGTGCCTGGGGTGTCCTGCTCCAGATGGGTGGCACCCTGCCCTGCTTCCTGGGAGAGCTCCCTGACGCCAGCAGTGCTTTGGGCCGGCCCTCGGCTACCGAGGGAAGAACGTGCTCTCCCCGGACACGGCAGTTCAGTGCTGCTTCTGCTCTGGTTTGTCCTGAGAAAGAAGAGGCAAAAGAAATGCAGAATTTGCAAAGGAGATATTAGGCACTTGGTCGAGGACCTGTGACATTATCTGGCCTCGGTAGGAGTGAGTCCTTTACGAGCATTACGGGAAAGAGCTGGTCTCTGGGAGGCGAAGGTCACACGTGGTCAGTGCTGCCACACAGGCCCGCCTCCTGAGCAAGATGCAGGCCTGCAACGGACTCGCATCAGGACCAACCATCAGAGGACCGTCACGCACCTTTATGCATTTGTTCTGTATCTCGGGGACACAGGAGGGATTCATTTGGCTTTCAACTGGAGGGATTCATTTGGCTCTCACTGAAGAACTCTGTGGGCCAAGTCAAACTCCAGAGCCAGCGAGCGGTGGCCCAGAGGTGTGAAAACACAGAAATGCATGGAGTGCGTTTAAGATGCACCTGCAACATGGGGGGTGGGGAGGGGAGAAGCCCAGAGAAGCCTCAGAAGGCAGCAGGAGTCACTGGGAGGGCAGCCCCCTACCAGGCCTGGCCAGCTACCCACACGGCTGCCTTCTTGCTGGCCAAGGTCCAGACACCAGTGTGCCGGCTGCCTGGGGCAGAGGCCAGAGTAGTGAGGACCAAGGGGGATCCCTGAAGCCCCCACAGCCAGCACATACCACCAGTACCTCCGAGTAGCTTCCCTTAACTGTACCCCCATCCCCGCCCTCGTCAGCCCTCTGGCAGCGGCTGTGGAATCCCTCCTCGAGGTGGTGGTTTCTTGAGTGATGACTCACCACAGAACTGGCCTTCATCCAGACCCATTCTCCACAACCCCGGCTGAGAAGACAAGAGCGAATCCCCGCCAGCCCTGTAAAGGCTGGCCCTGCCTCACCCTGGACAGACACGGGCCAGATGTGGGCCACGGGCTATGGATGAGGGAGATGGTCAGATACCAAGATGGCCGTCCCGGTTCTGTGCCCTCCCATCTGAGGTGAGGGGAAAGTCCAGCTGGGATGCTGAGGTGCTGGTTTCCTGGACTCAGGCGTCACCCCTTGGGGAGGTCTCTCCCTGTGCGCTGGCTGACAGCTGCCTCTCTCCTCTGGGTGCTCCTGGTCTGCGGCAACAGCCTCACAGTGTTGGCCTTGGTGGCTGCTCCACTTTATCCCCACTGGTCTGGGAACCAGAGGGCAAGGAGTGTGGTTTCCTCCAGAGCTGGACCCAGAGGTGGTCCGTGAATGTGGACCACAGAAGGGAGGTGAGGAAAAGAGGAAGGAAGTGGATAAAGGATGGAGAGAAGGGTGTGGAGGGCGTGGTGCATCTGAGTTTGCTGGGCCCTGCACACTTTGTTCTTATAGGTTCCATCCATTAAAAGTTATGTTTATGGGCCTCCCTGGTGGCGCAAGGGGATAAGATGCAACCTATGAAGCTGTCCGCAGCCACTGCAGCACGAGTTCGATCCCCGGCCAGGGAGCTACCCACATGGCACAGCAGACCTCTCCTGTGTCCCCGCTGCTCCCCTCAGCAGTGTGTTTCAGTAGATCCACCTGTTCTGCTCCCCACTCTGTCTCTGGTGAGTCCTCTCACCTCCCACGCCTCTGGCCTGTACCCAGTTCTTGTATGCATGAATGAATCTTCAAAAAATAATAAAAAATAAAAACTAAGTTTATGGCTGTATTACTATAAAATAAATGTAGCCCAGCTTTCAGTGTTATTACATTCTTTTTTTTTTTTCCTTCTGATTTTAAAAGAATGAACATTTCCAGGGCCCAGTCCCATGCACGGAGCCTGGCAGGAAGCTGGGCCTGAACCTGAGCATGCAGGTCAGATGGCAGTGAGTGGTCCAGCTAGCCCACCAGAGCCGTCTCCTGCTGGCGCAGTCCCAGGGCCTCCAGCCGGCCAGTCACTAGCCCTTGGGTCTCGGCCAGGGCCCGAGGCCCCGGAGAGGCCGACATGGTGGGCAGCAGGCACTTCCTGAGCCTGGAGTGGTGACTCTGCCATCTGGTCTAGAAGGATGTCCATCTTTGAAAACTGGATACAGACATTCTGGTGTCTTCTATGTGCTCCAGATGGAGGCAGGAATAACAAAATAGGGTCACCACAAAGATGCAAGAGGAAGAAAGAGGGTGAGGTCAGCCTGTCTACCCTGTCTCCATGTGGGTAACAGGTGCATTCTCACTGGAGCAGAGAATTCAGCAGGGGGGCAGGCTTGAGGGGAGACATGGGGGGTCAGCTTGGGACATGTTCAATGTGCTGTGCCTCTGGGATTTCCAGGAGGCAATGCCTGAGACCTCTGAATAGATGGATGTAGTTTTTTAGGAAATTAGGCACAGGGGTAAGAAGGCCTGGAAGGTTCAGTGAACACAAAGTAGGTCCTCAATAAATCTATCCTGGGGAGAATCACACACACACACACACACACACACACACACACACTTCAGTCCTGATGTGAGGGATAATTGGGAGGACCCCACACAGACTGACTTTAAGGGAAAATACAGAGCATCTTTTGTGCGATAATGATCGAAGCAGAGGACTGGAGGGCACACTTCAGCTCCAGATACCCAAGGTGTGGGGCCCAAGGGGGCCCTCACCGCTGTCAAAAATCAGTGCCGGGGCCCGCAAGAGCTTGTTTTGTTGTCTTGTACCTTGAAGATCTGGGAGGCATCAGGAGGAGAAATTGCATTTTCCAGACCCTGAAGCAATTCTTATTTTCCCTTCACATCTACTTCCCTGAGTGCATTTCTTAAAAAACTCTGTTGATAGATATTATATAAGCACATTGTTTAAATATTTGAGATGGTGATCACACCACCATTCAATTTTAATTGCAACTTCTGTTAACATGTCAGATGTTCTCAAGCAAAATTAATTAGGACCAAACAACTGATTGATGGTATTTAAAATCCAATCCCTCAGAAACTAACTTGCTTTATAACCCAGCACAACTGCAGAGGGAAGTTGGACAATAGCATTTAGCCTCTTGGGGGGTGTTCTCCCCCAGGGCCACAGGTTCCTCTCTCAATAATAAATAAAAATACAAAACAGAGATTTGGGAACCACAGACTTGATTTTTCTGCAAAGTCCCTCCCGCAGGTCTGCTGCTAGCTCATTTCTTTTTGAATCCTGTAAGTGACAGGCATCTTGGGACCTGCCAAGATAGTGCCATCCATGGTCACTTATTCAACAGTTGCCACAATCTTTCTTATGTTGTCCTAGTATCGACGACCTGGTCATATTCTTCTGTCACTTGTAAATTTCACTTTCCAGAGCAAACCAGCAAAATCCTCTTTCTGATCTGAAGATACCTCTGGGAACTGAGTCCCTGTGGGTAGAGAAACACACAGACCTGCTAGCAACCAGGCTGCATCTCCAGGGATCACATTACGCTGAGGCTCCTAGACTAGCATCGTGATCCCAACGTCATCGTATGTCTACCGGCTTATGGGATGTGAGTAATATTTGCGAAGGTGACCTGAGCACCTCAGTAGTTGCCACCCCTCACTAGATGTGATCGGCATGTAGAAGGACAGTGCACCCTAAGGTCCACCCACATCCTGGTTCCTGGGTGGGGGGTGGTCTTTGTGTGGTTGTGTGGGCAAAGAGAGCTAACATCATGTGTTGGATATTTATTCTAAAACCAGATTGCATGTATAAATATATATCGATAAAAAAGTTCTAATTATGTTTACGAGGTTTGATGCAATCTGTCAGAACCTGAGGATGCTTTTGTTAGCACATGTGCAGTTTGGTCCAATAGAGTCAGCTTTTACTGGGTGAGAATCCAGCTCTGACCTGAGGCCTTAGTTTTCCCACATGGTAAGTGAGTAGGAGAAGCCCCAACCTTGCCAGGTGGGAGTAAGGATTAGTGAGAAATTGTCCCTCATGTGCCTGGGATGTAGCAGGTACTCAATGAAGGGAACAATTAGGATTGCAGCTTCCAATTTTCGACAGCAGAGAGAATGTTCTTTACCTTCTATAGAAAATTACGTAGTCAGAACAAACCCATACCACAATCTATTAAACTATATTTCAAGACCATGTATTTAAAGTATTTGCCAGTGAAACTTTTTTTTTTTTTTTTTTTTTTTGGGACCCTCGCCGGTGGCCGGGGATTGAACTGGCGCTGCAGAGGCTACGGGCAGCCTCGCAACCCAGAGCTCAACCGCTGTGCCACCAGGGGAGGCCCCCAGTGAAACCTTTAATTCCTAAAATGATATTACAATGTAAATGAATAATTTTTAAAAGTAAGTAATCACTAATCATGGCTAAAAGAGTCTAAGCAATGGAAAAAGGAATGAAAATTGCCACCCTCTTTCAACGTCAATCCCTCATCCTAGCTCCCAACAATCCATGAAACAATTTCAGTGAACACATACCCTTCTGGATGCGTGTGTATAAACACTACGATGCTTTTCCTTCCAGAGTGAGCTCATGGTCCTCACGTCGGATGCTGGAAGTGAGCTCCCGCTCCACAGCCACGGGTTATTCTGATGGGATTTTAAAGACAGGTTTTAACAGCAATAATGCCAGTGAAATATGTTTTCCTTGAGTCCATGATTCTAAACAATTGGATGACAATAGAAAAATTTGGGTTAACATCTGATTATTCCATCCCTAAAATATGGCAGAGATCCAGGCAGCAGAGGAATAATCCAGATAAGACCATCCAGGGAAGCTGGATGAGTGGGGACTGGCCCCACCATGCTGTCATCGCCATGCTGTGTGCTGCTCTGTCTCTAGCAGTTGGCACTGACAGCAACTCTGCCAGGACAGAGGGCCCCACTATCCTCATTTTATTTATTTATCTATTTGTTTTTAAAAAATATTTATTTATGCATACAAGAGCTGGGTACAGGCCAGAGATGCGGGGGGTGAGAGGATTCACCAGAGACAGAGTGGGGAACAGAATAGGCAGACTGACCAAAGTACACTGCTGAGGGGAGCAGCGGGCGAGACAGGAGAGGTCTGCCCCACCATGTGGGTTGCTCCCTGGCCGGCTGCGGATTGAACTTGTGCTGCGAGGCTGCGGACAGCTTCATAGTGTGGTGGTTAACCACTTGCGCCACCAGGGAGGCCCACTATCCCCATTTTAAACTCAAGGGAACTGAGGTTCCCAGAGGCCTGAATGAAGCCGGGGAGCCGGGGGTGGGGTGGGGGGGGCGGGTGAGTCAGGAGCTATGTGGAGGAAGGGGTTGTTACAGCTGCTTTCCTGACTCCTTAGCCAGCACGTGGATGCCAAAAGGGAGCAAAGTGACCCTTTGGCGCCAGAATTGAGGCTACCTGCACACTTCTGAAGGACCGTGGGACATCCCAATTCTTCCAAAGCCAGTCATAAATGGGCCAAGGTATTTCACAAGAACCTCTGAGGCACAGCCATTTTGTCACAGTTGCTGTTAGGTTGGATGACAATAAGCTCAACCCTCTGAAAAGTGAGACTTCCCTTTGGAATTTTAAAGCAATAGTAAATGATCGCCCCTACCCAGCACCAAAAGAAACTCTTAATCTTATGATTAGACCCTCTATTGCAATATTCAGCTTATACCAGAATAACGCCTATGAACAGCAGACTCACTACAATTTCCTACTTTATTAGCAATTCCACCCTGAATCTACTTTAGAGTCTCTGAAATACTTAAGATTCCAGAACTATCTTGAATGGTTCTAAGCAGTAGAGCCCTCAGTGAGAAATCACCAAATAAGAGGCACACCCCACCACTGCCAGGAGGCTGTCACCCCTGCTACCCGAAGAGAGACTCTCCCTGGCTTGGAACTGGGGTGCCTGGGGCATCCATAAGTACAGAGAAGGGGCAGCAGACCTCACTGTCTCCCAAGTTCACAGAAGAGATATCTACCACACCCTTCCTCAGAACTTCAAAGGCGAGCAGAGAACCAGACATCAGCTAACCTGAGCTTGGGCTTTAAAGGAGCAGAGTGAGGGAAAAGGGGACAGGAAACCACATCTGGCACCGGGTGGTGATGCTTAGAAAGTGTAGCTAGCTGGCCAGCCCTGTCACCTGAGTGCAAGCCAGGTGAGACCCTCCAGGCAGGAAACAAGCCAACATTAGCCCTCTGACGGCATCCATGGGGTTGCTCTGGCTGTCCTGGGCTCAGGTCAGCAATGCTGGGAGCAGGAGTGGGGAGGCCACGCCAGATTGTCTCTGGGTCACTCACAGATGGGCCTTCGCTCTTGTCTGGTGATATTATGGGCCATGAGACTCCAATTGGCAAGGTGTCTTCTCTAACCTCCCAAGAGTCTGCGCTGTAGGAATGAATATCAGATGGAGAGAAAGATGGTCTTTCTTGGGACCCAAAGCAGATTCTGCAGAAGAGAATACCTGGCTGGGCTCTTCCCTCCAGCAGGTGCCAGGAAGATTGCTCAGCTCAACCACCTGTGCAGGAGCCCAGCACTGCCCTCCAGGACATGCTATGTTGAGGATACTGGAGCCAATGGCTTCTTTCAGTCCTCCACTCAAAGCTCACATGTCCCTCTTGTGAGCAATTCAGTCCTTTCACTGTAAAACTAAATGCCTCGCACCTGAACCCCCTCCAAGGGGGAGTGGACACAACTGCAGATTTCCATGGGAGGAAGAGAAACTTCTGCTGGTTTTGTGAGAAAGAGCTGGGGTTGTTTGTGTGATTTGCTTTGTCTAAAGTATAGTGTTCAAGCTGCGTTTGCAAACCCAAAGATGCCAGGAAGTTGCTCTGGAGGAAGTCAGACGGAGACTGAGAGAGTGGGGTTAGGACTCCTCTATTCCCACATCAACCAGAGACATACCACTTAATTTTTTTTAATTTATTTATGCATATAAGTGCTGGGGTGTAGGCCAGAGGTGAACGGGATAAGAAGATTCACCAGAGACAGAGTGGGAAACAGAACAGGCAGACTGGCTGAATACACTGCTGAGGGGAGCAGTGGGAGAGACAGGAGAGGTCTGCTGCGCCCTGTGGGCCAGCTCCCTGACCGGCCCGGGATCGAACTCACGCTGCAGCGGCTGGCGATAGCTTGATAGTGCTGAGACTTAACCCCTTGTGCCACCAGGGAGGCCCCCACTTAAATCTTTTTTAATTTTTAATCAAATTTTATTGATTTACAATTTATTTATAAAATGATATAATTGTTGGCTCATTTTTGAAAAGTAGGACTTAATATAAACTTATTCATTTATTTTATTAAAGTATTTTTTTTGCTGCTACAACCAAATTTGAAAACTTTAGGTCTATTGCCTTACTTTTCCATAGGGTACTGGTCCTGACATTCCATTACATATGTAGGGAAGTTGCGTTTTGCTTTGGGAGAATCGAGAGACATTCATTCCACAAATGTTTATTGAGTGTTACTTTGTTGCTGGTATAACTGACTAGACCTGGTGGAAACTAAGGAGATCTGATAAATATCAGCCCTGCCCTTGAGAAGATCATCAGGCTTGAGCTTGATCTTGAGGTTACAGGCAATTCAGAGGAAAGGTCAGAACAGCTTCCAAGGCGGGGCTGGTATTCCATCCTTGAATAGTTGATTCCTGTCTGCGCTGGCCACAGACATATTATCCAGTTGAAGGTTACCTTAATTTAATTAGAGATTTTAACAAAGGGTTCAATAGTTGTGTTCCTGATTTCTTTTTTTGCCTTCTTGTTTATTTGTGTGTGAGTGGCTTCTGTAGTAAGGATGACTATAACATGTACAGAGAACAGAAAAATAAACCTTTGTGAGACTAAGTCTCTGAGATTTGGGGGTTGTTTGTTATTACAGCCTTACCTCACTTATCTTGGCTAATACAATGCTATCCATTCTTATTTCCTTAGCAAACTCCTGTTTCTTGTCTCATAGCCTAAGTGTCTCCCAGTCTATGAAGTTATCCTCCACTCCCCCAGGCAAAGGGAGAGGACTCTTTTCTCTGTGCACCACATATATTATAATCCAGCTTTTCTGTGGTTTGACTATATCCACACTGGCTTGTATGTACTTTGAGAGCAGAAGTTAATGATATGGAAGCATTTGTTGATAGCTTGAATGAATGCAATAGCAGCATTTAGATGTTTCTTCTTAAAACCGAGTGTTTAGGGCTCATTTTGGAGCTGCAAAGAAATCGTCTGTCACCCTGTAAGTGACATGGTGGAATTGTCTGCATGGGCTGGACAGCTCAGGTAGGAATGAAAGTTTGAACTCAAAGGGGTTAGAAGAGAAAGTCTGGAAGGTTTCTTTGGACTCTGACAGCATCGCCCAACCAGAAGGAAACCTTCCTTGCAAGTGTCAGAAAACAGAACAAGTCCTCCACATTGAAACAATTTGTTAGCATTTACAAGTTCCCATTTTTCCTGAATTTTAACTTCTAATTGGTTTCCTCTTCTGTGCTATGAATGCCATCTGTCCCTTTGACAGGTTTTTGGATTTGATACCACTTGCCAGGGAATATGACCATCATAAACATTGTAATATGGTTTTGAAGTGTCCATTCCAAACAGCATCCACCCAGAATTCCCTGCTGCTCGTGTGTAAAGCCTTCACCATTTTCAAGCACTTGCTCCGTTAGAAGAAAGCCTTCGCCGCCACAGTTTCTAGGAGTTTATAACATAAAGCAGGATGACATCCAAGGCTTCATTTTGATTCTAATCTCCTGTCTGCTCTACTGCAGTAAAAAGGGTATTATTATGCCTATTTGTAGATGAGAAAACAGGCAGATGGAAGTGGACTTGCCTGAGATATAGTACCGGGACATTAAACTTAATTTCTGAATCTTAATTCCACGACTCGACAGATATCATCTCCTCCTTGTGGAATCAAAGCAGGGATGGATCTGATTAGTGTAACTCTATGAACCAAGAAGCTGAGGTTACGAGGAGAGGGTGGCCCCATGTGACACATGGTTCACAGCCTTGGGCTTGAGGACACTGGTCCTCTCCCTGACTCCTCCCACGACCCCCTTCCAGGACCTTGACTTTGCCTGCCAAGACCAAGGTGACTGGGTTATGGGCAAGCTAAGAATAGGGAGGGGGGCTGGCCCAGGAGAGGTTCTGGTAGGGGAAAGGGGAAAGGACTGTTAACTCATCCCAGGAAAGCAGGGAGCCGACTTGCATCCTGGATACTATGGCCTGTTGACACTGGATTTGCTGGGCCCCTGCAGGTCATCTGGGGAGAGAGAAGCCTGTCCACCATGGGTGTGTTCCCGCTATTCCTCATAAGATTCTAATTTGAGGAGAAGAAATGAAGTTTCCATGTGGCTGTCCGAGTGGGTTAGAATGGCAGAGGACCTGGTGGGGTCTGCTGGATCGCTCCACCATTCATGACAGCAAATGCTGTGAAAGATGCATGGGGAGGAGGGGAGAAGGTTCCTGGGGCTCAGGAACAGCTAATCTTGTTAGGGGACACACACACACACACACACACACACCCCCACGGACCCGATAAAGAACCCAGCTGGGCTCTGCTAGTTGGCTAGTGGGCAGCAGGCAGTAAAGGATTATCGGCGATTTGGAGGAAAGAGTAGGGTTAGGGATGGAAGGTCAGCATTCCTCCCTGGAGAGTCTCCAGCTAATCTTTAAGCAAGGATTTGAGTAAGCAGAAAGGAAGGAGACTTTCTAAGCCAGACACAACAACTTCTGGAAAGGGATAGATTGAGTAGGACTTATCACTGGTCACTACTTAGACACAAGGAAACTGAATAGGCCCCCAGAAACATATGAGGGTGGGGCCTGGGCAGTCCTAGGGGTTATAGTTACAGGTTGTGTCTCCAGCATTGAAGGAAATTGAATTTAACAAGAAAGAGTCAATGGGCGAGATAGTATCTGCTGCGTAGCCACCTGGACGGAAGCTCTGCAAGCCTCAGCAGAGAAGATCTGGACACACACAAATTAAATCACTGCCACTGGAAAGGAGTCCCGGGAAAAGAAGATGGGGTGGGGAAAGCCCTGCTTCTTCTACGGGGCAGTGCCAAGTGGATCTGAAAACCAGGTCTGGAGTCAGATCCCTGGTACCCGTTCAGGCTCCTTCTGATTCGGGGTTCCCTTCCTGCAAGCCCTTCTGATGCACGGACAAATTCAAGTTCAACGTCTCTGCCCAAGGTCTCCTGGGAGGGCCCCGGGCAACCTGCCTGCCTCCCACAAGAGCCTTCCTAGCTGTTTTAGTGGAAAGTAAGTTCTGGCACCTTCCATCCCCAGAGTTCTTTGGATTATCAAGCATGTTCCTCAAGCCACCTTAGTCCTTTTCCCAAGTCCATGGAAGCGAAGATTCCACAGTGGAGGGAGGATCTGAGCTGCTTCTAATGATGCGAAATCATGTCTTGGAGGGGGCTGAGGGCCTGTTGGATAATTCTCCTATTCTAAAGCTATAATTAAATCACTGGCATTCAATGAGGATAATTTTTGTTTTCATATAATGAGCCTTTACCAATAAACCCCTCCCTCTCCCAACTCTCTCGGTGCTGGGTCTCAAATTTTCCTCCAGTCTCAGAAGTCAAAAAAAAAAAAATCTGTCTGGTCTTGGGCAGATGCAACATCATATACTTTAAATGGCTTTGCTTGGCTAATCCTAATAAACCAGTGCCCATTCTGTGCCATCTTTGTCTCTCTGAACCCACTCTCTGCTGACTCAGCGAGGCAGCACACTTTGGTCTGAGAGAAAGCCTGGGAAATGAAAGGGAAACGGGGTGGCTGCTGGTTTCACACCAGGATGCTTTCCTCCCCCAGATGGTTGGCTTTCCAAGGGAGTAACAGCAATATTTTTGGGAAAGATAACCAGAATGAAAGATTAAATTTGCTCATAACCCCCATGGTTTAAAAAAAAAATAAAGAGGGAATTTTTCTCTCAACCTGTGGAATTCCGTTCCTTAAAGGAAACCACAGCTACAATTTGTGGTGCATTCCACTTGATTTGTGGCTGGGCTTATGTAGACAATGCTAAGTACCCATACATCCAGAATGCCAGACGCACTGTGGACACCTTGCATATTTCTCTGTACAGTCATGGACAGCTTCCAACTCAGTACCTGGAGACCTAACATATTCTCTTTTAGTGGCTGCCCATTATTCCACCGAATAGACACATGACAGATTCAACCATTCCCCAGTCGATGTCCATTTAGATGGTTTGCAATATTTTTGTTCTTACAAACAGTGCTGCAACACATATTCTTGTTGATATAGTTGATGCATTTATTTTATTATGTCTGGTAGGACGGATTCCAAAGAGTGGGGTTGCTTTTACTCCTTTTAAATTTTTTTTCTTAATTTATTTATATATATTTTACATCATTGTTCATTTTTAGACAATGTTTGTTTTTTCTCAGGTGTAGTGTCGGTAGAATTTCCACCACCAAAGCATCCGTGCACCATCACCACAGTCCCCTGAGCTCCTCCCTTCTATTGGGGCCCAAACACCAACAGTGTAGGAGAGGCCCCTCCATCCCCCTCCTTAGCCTTGCCAACACTTGGCCCAATCTGCTAGACCACAAAATGTTAATCTCTTTAAGATTTAATTTGCATTTCCCTGACTACTAGGAAGCCTGAGCATCTTTTCTTATGTTTATGGATGATTTGCATTTCCTATTTAGTGAATTACCCACTTTCATCCTGGACCCATATTTTTATCAAGCTGTTTTTTCTCTTCAATGGACAGGAGCTCTTTGGATGCATGTGCACCCAAAAATACTAGGAGGCTAGTATTTCATGTCACACTACTGTTGGCTTTTGATTATGTCTATGATGTGCTTTAACTGTAAATTTAAATTGCTATCGTAATCCTATAAAGAAAGGATTTGTAAATCAAAGCATTCTTCTTCCTCCTCAAAAATCTCCTTTTTTTATAAACCAAATCTCATGTAGAACCTGGTCCTATCTGTGGGTCTATTATTAGTGCGTATCTCCCTCTGCCCTTGACAAGCTCTTATCTGCGCCTTCGGTCATCTCTCTTCTGAGCCAATCCTTGTCTTCGAAGTCATCTCAGGTTCATCTAGCATGTGTTCCACGGCGTCTGAGAGCATGTTAACCTCTTACAGAGGAATTTGAGATTTCTCTACGAGCAAGAGTAGGAACCAGCAAGAACAAGGTTTTTCTAGTCTTTTATCTTCCCGTTTTCAAGTGAAGGTTCCAATAAATACTTGTTGAATTTTATCATTCTGTTCACCTTCAAATTCAGACCTGTTGGTAATTACTGGCTTGCGGTACAAGGAGATTAGAGATTGAGGTCCAGAGAGGACACGCGACGGTACCCAGAGTAGCCAGGTCTCTGTGTCCTTGTCCCCTCCTTTTCTGGTACACTCTGTCCCACGACAAAGGACGGGTGGCGTGAAGGGCACAGGTCCGGGAGAAGAACAGGGTTAGGACTTTCAAATGTCACAACCTCCTGGTGAACAGGTAGGGTCTTTTCTGGGGCTGCTGCTGGAGGCCAGAAGATTCTGGAATGATGCTTCCTTCTCCCACCGTTGCTGATAAACAGAATCTATCTTGGAAGAGCTGGGTGTCTCGGGACTCGGTCAGGGATCGCTGAGCAACATGCTCGGGGACTTACTGTGTATATAGGTATTCTGCTTGCTTGGGGGAGTCACTCCTGGGCAAAACAGATCTGACGTCTCCTCCAGAGGCTCACAGGCCTAGTGAGGGTGACAGCCCATTTCTGTAGGTGCCGGGAGGGCATGAAACACTCCCAGGCATATACAATCACCAATGGAGGTAAATGCTGAGAAGGAAACGCCTGGGTGCTTAGCAAGAACACAACAGGAAGGAGGGCCTGGTTTGGCTTGGGGAGAGAGGCTTAGGGAAAAGCAGCAGTTGGGGGTGTTAAGGGCTTTTGCAAAGGTGAAGTGTTTTACATATGTGAGGAAAATAATAATAATAAAGGTGCTTGGAAGGGCAGCTCATCCCCGCATTCATGGGCCACTTCCTAGCCCCTGGAGAATCCCCCTCTCCCCCAGCCTCCTGTGGGTGTCCCGGGTCGGCCTGGAATAGCCTTCACAAATGCTAATACATGAGCGTTTTACACACTGGCCCCCTGACCCTCGGCATCCTCACCCCTAACTCCTTTGAATGCTGGGGTGAATGGCAGCCCTGCCAGGCATTTCCAGTTGAGGAAAAGGGAGGTGAAGAAGCTTTCCCAGCCCGATCCCCGGGCCCCCAAACAATCCGAGGAATGTTTTTCAAGGCAAAATCCCACCTCCCGTGTGTTTGGCTGAGAAGGACGTTGCACCAGAGGCCGGGGTTGTCAGGGGGAACTTGGGGGTAGGGGTAATAATCTGTGAACTCGCCACTCCCCCAGCAAACAAGTCCAAAAGAACTCGAGCAGCGTGCGGGAGGATTTGACAGTGGGGGTGGGATGCAGGCCCACCGGGGCTGGAAGGGGGTGTTCATGGTCCCCGGGGCCTCTAAGGTAGCAGCTTGCACACCTTTGATGTGGTGGGCAGTTGGCACGCGCTTTGCTAACTTTATTCCCAAAACAGCCCTGTGAGGTAAGAAACATTGCTGACTCCACTTCACCACCGGGGAAACTGAGGCACAACGAGGCCAAGCAGCGACAGCGGCTTCCCTCTCTCTCCCCACAATCTGGGGTCATGTTTTGAGTCGAGGTTTGGGCTGCAGGAGGTGTGCACCGGCCCCTTCTAGGTGACCCTGACCCACCTCCCCATAACTGGGAAAATGTGGGCTTTGAAAAGGGTAATTTGGGAGCCGGTGGGGCCGCTGTGGGGGCCCCGCGCCCACCCGGACGTGCCGCCCCGCTGGGCCCCAGGGGCGCGGGAGAGCGGCGGGGCGCCCCCTCGAGCCCCTTCCCCGGGGCCCGCAGCTCCGCTTTCTGCTCGGTCTCCGCGAGGTGTCGCCTTCGGCCGAAGAAACCACCGCGGCGCCACCCTCGCAGCCCGCAGTTATTTATTTATTTTCAAACAAGGGGGGGCGCCGCTCTCCTTTCAATTTAAAACTAGAAACATCCCGCGGCTCCAGCCCCGATGGGTACGTGCGCGCCTCCCCCTCCCGCGCCCGGGTCTAGCCTCCCCGGAGCGCACACCCGAGCAAGCCTTTTGCAGAACAAAACGCAGCCGGGGCGGGGGCTGGCACGGGCGAGCTCCCCCTCCCCACCCCGCCCAAAACACACCCCCGAGCCCACCGGAAATTTTTTTTTTTAATGCCCAGCTCTGGCCCGGCCCGGGGGTGGGTGCTGCTCGGCCCCGCTCGGCGCGCAGCTGGTCTGCAGAGCGCAGCGGGCGCAACCCGGGGTCTGCAGGGGCGGGCGGACACCCCGGGCTGCCCAGCGCTGCAGCCGCCTCTCTGCAAAGAAGAAAAGCAAGTGGCTTTTGGCGCGAAAGCCTTGGCGCCTCCCCTGATTTTATGGAAATCAGGAGGGCGGGGTAAAGCTGCTTTGCTCGCGCTTTCTCCCTCCCCTTGTCTGTGCCGCAGCCCCCTCTCTCCCCGCCCCCCGGGTGTGTCAGATTTTTCAGTTAATAATATCCCCCGAGCTTCAAAGCGCAGCCAGTGACAGTCATCTGTCTGGACGCGCTGGGTGGATGCGGGGGGCTCCTGGGAACTGGGTTGGAGTCGAGCTCGCGCTGGCCAGGCGCAAGCGCGCACAGACTGCAGCCGCCCGAGGACCCCCCCCCCGCCCCAGGCCACCCGGAGACCCTGGCGCAGAATCGCCTCTGAATCCCCGGCAGTCGGCGGGAGGTAAGGAGCGGGGGCTGCCAGCCTCGGGGCGCCCCGGGAAGGCGAGCCCTGCGCCGGCCCGCGGCTCGCGCCCTGGGCGCGGGAGCGCACCCCGGGGACTGCTTCTGCCGGCGAGACAAAACCATCGCGGGGTTTCCCCTGCAAAGCCGGCTCCAGCCCCGCAGGCACCCCGACAGAAAGAGACCCGCCCAAATCCTCGCGCTGCCCTTGTCAGGGGTCTGTAATGGCTCCAGCGAGAAGAAATTCGCCCTTCGCCGGAACGTTTGTCCGTGTCGGAGCCTGTGCGTCCCCACCCCGAAGCTGGGGTGCTTCTCCGAAGGGTGCCCCCAGAGGAGGAGGCGGGGGGCCGGACAGGGCGAGGCCGCCGCGGTGGTAATCTGGGTCACGGCTGCCTCGGCCCCGACTCTCCCAGGGACCCCCCCTGCGCTGGCACCCCTGCACCATTCCCGGGCACCGGGGCTCAGCTGCTCCCCTCTCCCGGGAAGAGGAGGCTGTTGGGGGGTGGGAGGCGCCCGGGTGGGTTTGGAGAGGTTCAAAATAAGCTGTTGGCAGGACTCTCCCTGCAGCGGGTGGATGGTGAGGGGAGTCGGCTCCAGCGCGGGGGGAGGCTCGTGCCTTTGGGTGGCTGTTGTTGGTCTCCAGGTCTGGGTCTTTAAATCTGCAAAGTTTCCTCGCCCCCCGCCAGGGCTTGCGCTCCCAAGGTTGCAATTTTGCAGAGGGGGGACTGCGGGAACTCCCCGTGCCTGGCGGGGTGGCCGGGGGGGGCGCCGGGCGCAGCTGGCCCTACCTCGGTGCAGCGCGCTGGGCGGCGAGCTGGAGGGAGCTCGCCTTCTGCAGCCGCGCGCCGCCCCCTCCCCCCGGCAGCGGTGCCTTGTGTGAATGAAATGGCAGTTTCCAAAGTTGCAGAGCCACGCCACCGCCCCCCGCATCTGCATGCCCCCTCCCACCCCGCCGTAGACAGCTTGTACACAAAAGGCGGGAGGGAGGGAGCGGGCGAGAGACAACTTCCTCCACCTTCGGGAGCACCGAGCCGAGTGGGGGGCTTGGCTCCCAGACCCGAGGACCGGGTGGGTTCGAGGGGGGCACCCCCTCTCTGGGCTCCCCCCCCCTCCGACCCCGCGTGCCAACCCACCCAACCCGGGTCTGGTGTGTCTGTCGGTTGCAGAGTCGGAGGTTGGCGCGCGCCCCCGTCTCCGCGCCCCACACGGGAAGGAAGCACCCCCCTCACCGCCCCGAGCCGGGCGCAGAGCAGCCGCGCGCCGTCGCCGGGCGGGAGGCGAGCCGCGCCGATGCCGAGCTGCACCGCGTCCACCATGCCGGGGATGCTCAGCAAGAACCCGGACCTCGAGTTCGACTCGCTGCAGCCCTGCTTCTACCCCGACGAGGACGACTTCTACTTCGGCGGCCCCGACTCGACCCCCCCGGGGGAGGACATCTGGAAGAAGTTTGAGCTGCTGCCCACGCCCCCGCTGTCGCCCAGCCGCGCCTTCCCCGAGCACAGCCCCGAGCACGCCGGCTGGGCCACGGAGATGATGCTGCTGCCCGAGCCCGACCTGTGGGGCAACCCGGCCGAGGAGGACGCGTTCGGCCTGGGGGGCCTGGGCGGCCTCACGCCCAACCCGGTCATCCTGCAGGACTGCATGTGGAGCGGCTTCTCCGCGCGCGAGAAGCTGGAGCGCGCCGTGAGCGAGAAGCTGCAGCACGGCCGCGCGCCCCCGGCCGCCAGCCCCGCCGCCCCGGCCCCGGGCGCGGGCGCCGCCAGCCCGGCCGGCCGCGGGCCCAGCGCGGCGGCCTCGGGGCGCGCCCTGCCCGCCGAGCTCGCGCACGCGGCGGCCGAGTGCGTGGACCCCGCCGTGGTCTTCCCGTTCCCGGTGACCCAGCGCGAGCCCGCGCCCGCCGCCCCGGCCGCCGCCCCGGGCCCGCGGGCACCCCCGGCGCCGGCGCCGCGCCCCCGCCCGGAGCCCCCGCGGCCGCCCCTGCGCGCGCCGGCGGCCGCCCGGCCGGCGGCGGGGACCCCAAGGCCCTGAGCACCTCCGGCGAGGACACCCTGAGCGACTCAGGTAAGGCCGAGCCCGCTGCGCCGCGCGCGGGGCCGGGACGGGGACCCGCGCGCCTTTGTTGCGGCGGCGGTTCAGGCTTGGGGGGCGCGGGGCGTGCTGCGAGGTGGTGCTGCTGGGAGGGGGGGGGGTCCCGTGTCCGTCCAGGGGGCCCCGGGGAGCAGGAGAAGGTGAGTGGAAGCCGCTGGGGGGTGTTTTCCTGGGTCCCACCTTCGCCGAAGTTCCTGCCACCCCCCGGCCCCGGGGCGCCTGCTCGGGCGCCCCCACCCCGGCGCGCGCCGCGTCCCCCGCCTCTGCGGCGCGGTCCCCGGAGGCAGCCAGCTAGGCAGGACGCTTAGCCAGCCGACCAGCCCGGGCGCCCGCTCCCCGGGTGCAGTTGAAGGAAAGTTGGGTGGCTGAAGATGCCGGGTAGGTGTTTGGGGAAACCTGTTAGCAGGAGGCGAAAGGGCTTCGGCCGGGTCTGGGGGCGAGGGGCGCGGAGAGGGGCCCGGCGGTGCAGGATCCTGCTCGGCGCAGGAAGTTAGAGCGAGACGGCACAGATGGCTGGCACCGGTTTGTTGTTGTTTTTCTCCTAACCCCGGGCCTCTGCGCGCCCTCCTTCCCCCGTGGGTGGTGGGCCAGTTGCTCCTGGTAAGTGGCCAGCAGGCGGCGACGTGCAGGCCCCAGGCCGGCCAGCGCCTGAAAGGCCGGGGGGGACGGGGGGCGCACCCCTCCCTGGCGGCGGCCGCCCACCGGCCAGTGAGCACAGGGCCTCGGCGGCTTCCGCGCGCCCGGCCGCCTCTCCACGCGGGCAGTGGGCGCTGGGTCCACTTCTGTCTTGCAGCCGGACTTGCAGGGCTAATTGGAAACCCGAGTGGTGTTTTGTGACCCAGTGCCCTTCGAGGGGAGGGTGTGACCGCGCCGGCCCTCCAGGAATGCGGGGCCCGGGAAGCCCGCATTGATTAGTTCTATTGTGTGAACACCACCGGCTGAAACTGAACCGGGAGGGTTAACCCCGAGACCTTGCCCTGGGCTGCGGCGCCGAAGAAACTCTTCCCAAATACCTGAGCAGCCCTGCCCTTGGAGCTGGGGGCCCTGGGACCTTGAAACCCTGTGTTTGCCGAGAGCAGGTGGATTAAAAGCCTGAAATCTGCCTTCGGGATTGAGGGTGGATCTCTCCAAGGCTCCTGGAAGGCGATTGGTGATAAGCCTCCAGTTGGGAACGGGTCTGTCCCTTTAATGTCTGCGCCTTGACAGCTTTGGGTGAGGAAGCACTTCCTTCCAACAGCTGTCTTCTTGGCAGGAAACCAAAACACTGGCTTAAAGGGACCCACAGACTGGAACAGCCTCACATTTCGGCTTTAGAACAAATCCCACAATTGTTCAGCTTTCCGGTCCCCTTCAGATCAAGCAGAAGATGTGTTTTGATTTTCATGCTTGCATTTTTAAACAATAATTTTCTCTCCCGGTGCGGTAGTCAGTGTGGAGAGGGGAGAAGGTATGCATGATGCTACATGTTTTTGTTGATGCTGTTATTAATGGTGACTTGGGGAAGAGCTGCTTCCATTTTGGGGGTTAGAGCTCCGGTGCATGATGAGTTTATCGGGAAGATTGGATCTTTGTTGGCTGCAAAGAAAAACAAAAACGCTTACTGTAGAAACCCAGGTTGAGGGAAGAGGAGTTCATTTTTCTTCCTTAGTTACTCTTTTGGTTTGCAGAAGGACTTAAAAAATCAAACTAATTGCAAAAAAAAAAAAAAAATAGATAAAAAACTAATTGCTAAGTAAGGCGCCTAAGGTGAGGGATCTCCATTAAGCACAGACAGCTGTAAATAAGTATGGGGCCAGCCGGGGAGGACCCCGAAACTCGTGTACAAACCTTCCCTCTGCTGGGCCAACTCAGGCCAGCTCCAGACAGGCTGGTGGCCCCACTGAGCACCTGAGGACGCTGAGGCTTCCAAGGTTAAGGAACTTGCACAACTAGTGGGTGATGGGCCGGAATTCTCTGGCTCCAAAGCCCAGGTTCTTTATATGTCTGCCACCTGCTAAAGAGGGGAGCGGAGTCGAACAGGCTGGGCTTAATGGTTCAGGAAAAGGGGTTTCCAGCTATAGTTACCTTACAGAGGCCTCTGTTTGGGGGTCTGGTGTAACAAGCTATGACTCAGAGGCTGCTGCAGAGACTATGTATGTTGGTGTCTCTAGACTCCATACTAGTATAATTCAATCTGCTTTGATTCATATGTATCTCCCCACGAGTGTAACTCTCACCTTGTTCCCTAAGATGATGAAGACGATGAGGAGGAAGACGAGGAGGAGGAGATAGACGTGGTGACCGTGGAGAAGCGTCGCTCCACCTCCAACAGCAAGGCGGTCACCACCTTCACCATCACCGTGCGCCCCAAGAGCGCAGCCCTGGGGCCAGGGCGCGTCCAGCCGGGCGAGCTGATCCTCAAGCGCTGCGTCCCCATCCACCAGCAGCACAACTACGCCGCCCCGTCCCCCTACGTGGAGAGCGAGGACGCGCCGCCCCAGAAGAAGATGAAGAGCGAGGCCTCTCCGCGGCCCCTCAAGAGTGTCATGCCCCCCAAGGCCAAGAGCTTGAGCCCCCGCAACTCCGACTCGGAGGACAGCGAGCGGCGCAGGAACCACAACATCCTGGAGCGCCAGCGCCGCAACGACCTTCGCTCCAGCTTCCTGACACTCAGGGACCACGTGCCAGAGCTGGTGAAGAACGACAAGGCCGCCAAGGTGGTCATTTTGAAAAAGGCCACCGAGTACGTCCACTCCCTGCAGGCCGAGGAGCACCAGCTGTTGCTGGAGAAGGAGAAGCTGCAGGCGCGGCAGAAGCAGCTGCTCAAGAAAATTGAACACGCTCGGACTTGCTAAACGTTTCTCAGAACCGGACAGTCGCTGCCACTTTGCACATTTTGATTTTTTTTAACAAACATTGTGTTGACATTAAGAATGTTGGTTTACTTTCCAATCGGTCCCCTCTTTCCACCCCCTTCTCCCCCCGTGGAGTTTGGATCTGGGCGGGGAGCAGGACAGTGTGGGTTCTGCCAGGACCTCAGGCCAGAGCCCCCCCGAGCTGGGATGCTGGGGGGCCCTGGCCGGTGCCTCCGTGTCACCTCCGAGACAGCGGGCGAATCGGTGATGGTCGGGAGCCTCTGGGGCTGTTGAAGTCACCTGCTTGTTCCAAGTTTCCAAACCACAGAACGTCATTCCTTCTTTTTAAAATGGTGCTTAAGTTCCAGCAGATGCCACGTAAGGGGTTTGCCACTTGATACCCCCCGGGGAACATTTCTGTAAATACCACTGATACACCGCCTTTTGTATGCGTCCTGGGTAAGGAGAGGTGGCTTTTGCAGCCAGTATTAGACTGGAAGTTCATACCTAAGTACTGTAATACCTCAATGTTTGAGGAGCATGTTTTGTATACAAATATATTGTTAATCTCTGTTATGTACTGTACTAATTCTTACACTGCCTGTATACTTTAGTATGATGCTGATACATAACTAAATTTGATACTTATATTTTCGTATGAAAATGAGTTGTGAAAGTTTTGAGTAGATATTACTTTATCACTTTTTGAACTAAGAAACTTTTGTAAAGAAATTTACTATATATATATGCCTTTTTCCTAGCCTGTTTCTTCCTGTTAATGTATTTGTTCATGTTTGGTGCATAGAACTGGGTAAATGCAAAGTTCTGTGTTTAATTTCTTCAAAATGTATATATTTAGTGCTGCATCTTATAGCACTTTGAAATACCTCATGTTTATGAAAATAAATAGCAATTAAATGATGCAACTTTCTTTTCCATAATAGTGTTAGTTCAACTCTCTGTTAAGCAACAACCGTAAATAATACATGATTTGCAGAGGAGACTTGGTTTCCGTGCACAGCCATTGAGAGCTGGTGCAGCCCGCCTTGGGGAGGGACTGTTCATCGGCTGGAGAAGGGAAGGAAGCTTGGGGGAGTTAAGACATTTCTCCCAGATGAGGGGGTATGCATTGCAGCAATAGCACTGCATAGTTGAGAAAGCACTTTCATGTGTGCTGGCCATTTGACGGCGCTACGTTAGGACATCAGGTTAGGACACCTTTAGAATGCTAAGTAAATTGATGCTTGGCTCTATTTGGTATTGGTCACGGCTTGTCCCACCAGTGGATAGCTCTTTATTTTGGTGTCGAGTGTACTTTGTCTCTCTCCAAGAAGCATGTATTCTTAAAGATTTACTGGAACCTGCGCGAGGTCTGATGCTAGGCATTGTAATGGAGCCATCGAGTTCTCCAATGGATGCGTAAGAGTAACTTGTGAAATGATATCCATGTGGCTCAAATCCACTGCCACATCCGATAAGCAGGGATGCAGATGCCCTCGTAACTTGCTTCTACACAGGCCCATTTCAGGGTCCTTGGGCTGCCCTGGGGAATCAGGATTGACCTCGGCAGGCTTTGGAGCACAGAGCCAGACCAACAGGTTGGACGTTCTTCACGTTCTTCTCAACTGAGTTGAGAAGAAAGTTCTGAGTGTCCCTGTTGGGAGGTGATACTCTGGCTTGTGAGACACTGTCTCAGAAGTGAGAGCTTACTATTTCTCTTGGTTGGACGGTGGTATTTGGTTAGTTCTTTAAAGTTTTGTTCATCTGAGATTTTTTAGCTCTGAACTGAAAAAAAGAACTTTTGCTGTGCTGAGAAGAAAACCTGCCGAGGGCGTGAAAGGACTCTCCTTTCCTAGGCCACGTGGGAGCCTCTGCTTTTGCCATTTATAGAAGCCAGTGGGAATTTAGAGCTTGAGGTCTTCGAAATGCCAGTTTATAGTCATACTCCTAGATCTATGAGGTTGTTAGCGCTGGCCTGGATATTTCTGATGGTCTGACCATTTCGAAAATCCTCTGTATTTAATCTTTCCAACCTCCCCCAGCCCCACATTAGAAAATAATGAGCCCTCTTTGGAAGTCCTTTTTGAATTGTTCCAAAAGGCTTTCCTGTCCATTGCATTTTTACAGGCCCCATTCACTAGCCTCTGTGCAGTCTCTGTCCATAAACCTAAAGACAGTGAAGCAATCTCAGTAATTGAGCACCTGAGATTCTTGAAGGCAGCTCATTCAGCCCAATTTCCTACTTGTGATGCCCATACATTGCTGCCTAGGTGTTTCAGATGAGATATGACTCAATCATAGAGGAAGAGAGTTGTTGAAAAGCATCAGGCCCTAAACTATACTTTCTACCAGGTTCCATTTTTTGCTCTGGCTGCTAGGAAGCTCAGAGCCAAATTCTGTGCTTTCATTCTGGTGTTCATTCTACCTTATTTTTCATTGCTGGTTTTTGTTATTTATTTTTTAATGATTATTTATGCATACAAGAACTGGGGTACAGGCCAGAGGTGTGGAGGGTATGTATGAGGATTCACCAGAGACAGTAGGGAACAGAACAGGTGGATCGACTGAAATACACTGCTGAGGGGAGCAGTGGGGAGACAGGAGAGGTCTCTTACACCCCGTGGGTCACCTCCTTGGCCAGGGATGGAACTCTTGCAAATAGCTTCATAATGCTCCGTCTTGACCCCTTGTGCCACCAGGGAGGCCCCTATGTTATTTATTTTTGTTACATTAAAGAGAACTTTTGCATTATTTAGATAAAAATATGTATTAAAATAACATTTCAGTGCATATAAACAAAATAATACTAAAGTAAAATAGCACTTACTGCTCTTTCCTGGCCCAGCTGAGGAAAAGTGTCACCTAATTTAGCTTTGCAATTATCTGTAAAATAATTGTCACAGAAGAATCGAATTGCTCATTCAATAACATGAGAAACCTCTGCATTCCAAGAGCAGCTTTGGCGCTGGGAAACTGCTCTACATCAGAGAGACCCATAAGTCATAGGACTGAGAAGGAGCAGAGGATCATCACAGAGGGGGTCGTGGGGTCCCCAGGCCAAACCCGGAACTGGAATTGGGGGCCACAGCGATTGACTCAGGGTCCGTTCCTCTGCGCCCACTGTGATCTCACTACCTCCTGGTTCACCCCTTCCACCTCCAGCAAACCTCCTAAACTACTGGCTCTGCAGAAAGACTGCCAGTACTTCCTTCCGCTCCGAGGACGAAGTCCAGGACCTTCAGCCTGGTGTGTGAGGCTGCTTCTGTCCTGCCTCCCACGCAGCTTCTCACTCCAGCCTCACCAGACACAGCTGCTCTTTCTCCCCTCGGGACTTGGTTCCCCAACTCCCCTGGGTGATCCAGTTTAGTCAAGCGCTTCTCAGCCTTGAATGGCAAACCCAATATCTACCAAGTCATCCTTGTGCCCTCAGTGGGGTTTCCCTAATCCCACGTCTCCTCTGGAGACAGAACTGTTCCAGTCAGAGCTTGGGCAGCCCTAGGCCCCCACGGTGACCCATTTGCCTCTGATTCTTCACCCTGTCTGGTGACTGACGGATGCCAGAGCCTCCCTAGAAGCCAGCGGGATATGGGGGTGGGGTGGGGTAGGGGGTTGTGAAGGAGGCTCAGTGGGCAGCACAGGAAGGAGCAAGGCCCAAGTGGCGAAGATTCCCTTCCCGGGCCTGTCTCCGGCCAGTCCTGGTTGGAGAGCTCTCTGGCTAATCAAATTGGGGCGTCGTCATCAGGAAGCATCAATGAGCACCTGGCAATGACAGGGCTGGAGGTGAAGATAAAATGTACAGGGAGGACTTTGCAGGACGCCCACAAACTGGAAGGGTTGGCATCCAGGACTGTGTGTAGAAGGCAGGGCGTGAGGCAAGTGGGGTCCCACAGCGGAGGCAGGTCCTGCACCGCCAGGTTACCAGCGTGGACCCTCTGGGGAGCAGCCAACTTGCCGGCCCACCACAGGCCTGAGGCAGCTCCCCCGTGGGTCTCACAGCCCTCCCGGCACTCTGCATCAGCTCACCCCATTCCCATTTGGGGACGACTCTGGGTTCCTGCCTTTGGCTTTCATTCATCCCTGCCGTGGCCATTTTGAAATTCCCGATTTGGGCTGTTTTTGGAGGGAGAGGCTACGAGTTCGAAGGACGCCGGGAAGCCATCTGCGACAGGCTGGCGCCTGCCCTGTAGCACATCCAGCTTGACCGCCAGCTCCAGGGCTGGGCCCCCACAGCGCACGGGAAGAGCGACCTGTGCTCCTGATCCTGCTTTTCTCCTTTCTTCCTTTCTCTCCCTCCCTCCCTCTCGCCCTCTCTGCGGGGCTTCCCTGAGCCCCGGGGCCCCGCCCGTCCCCACTCCGCCTTCCACACACCACCCTGACTTAAAGCCTCTTTTCCCTTGTTTTCTCTCTCTCTGAACAATTTCGCACCTGCCCGGCTCGAGCGCTGCTCCAAGCACTCGGAGGCATCAGGGAACGAAGTGCCCCCAATACCTCGCCGCTCCCCACCGCCTTGGGTTACGGAGTTTATAAACACAAGGCGCAAATCAATCTCATTTGAGAAGGCGGAGCGCCCCTCAAGAGAGTGAGACAGCTCGGAGACATGCAAGAGGCCTGGCATGAGGGGCAGGCTGTGTCTTGAGTGGAGAGTCAGGAAGCTGCCAAGGGACAGGGGGCTGAAGGGCAGGGTTGGGGCTCGGGGGCCCGGGACCCCACCCATATCACTGCCTTGGCACCCTGGGCTTTGGCAAAGCCCCCCAGCATTCTTGTTCTTAAGGGCAAGCAAGAGAGCAGAGCGGCTCAGAAGGCGGATCTGAAGGGGTCCCTGTGGGTTGGGCTCAACACCCACAAACTCTGGGTTGCGCCTTCTCCCCTCTTAGATAATGGGGGGACTACCAGCTACTTCAGGGGGGCTTACAGAGACTGACTCATGCAGCACTGGGGCTGGCCACTGGCACACGAGGTGGGAGATGTCAGTGTGTTAATCTGATTTGCTGTTGATGGGGTGGGTCTTTACTCTCCCCGTTTCTTCTGTATCTCACTGGGGCGAAGAATCTTCCCCAAACATTTACTGGTGGAACAAATTCACCAGTTTGAGCTTAAAATGACCTGTGTGGACATTTGTTCCTTAAAATAGACCTTGCAAAACTTGAAAATGGCTGCCCGGCAGACACATGAACGTGAGCTCTGAAGCCTCTGTTCAGACGGGGTCCAGGAATGTGGGAGCCACAGAGCATCTCCGCCTTCTGCGATGGTTTATGAGTTCTCCTTACTTGTAAAGGAAATCTCTTCATAGACCACTGGCCAGGGTTACCCGATCCCTGCAGATACTGACGGATCATGCTACAAGACATTCATGCCGAAACCTTTGACCGGGAGGAGTAACAGAGCCTTCCATGGACACTGCACCCCACAACACACACAGCTGTCCTCCTGCTGTGCCCGCAGATGACTGGCTGTGGGCTGTGCCCAGGGGCGTTTTCTTCCAACTCTAGTAGCCCCACGATCATCAGCAGGCTTTGGGGGGTGGTCCGGGTGCCATTCTTTCACCCATCCACAGCCTCTTAGGGGTTGGCTTTGTGTCTTAGACAACCCTCGGCCATTTTCCCCAAGAAGGGCCATTCATAGCCCGCCCCTCCCCCCCCCACATCCAAGTTGACTGGGTGGGAACCGCCCCTGGCATAGATGCTTGGTTGGGAGGCAGAAGCCCTGGGCTTGGATTCAGGTTGTCACATTTCTGCCCCTGGCTGAGGAAGGTCAGCTCCCCTCCCACTTCCTCATTCATGCGGGTGGGGCTTGGAAATCTCCAGCCCCCTTTCAATTCTGAGCATGGAGGGGCATTGATCCTTGGAGCTGGCTGGAGCCTTGAGTGGCTACAAGTGTGGGTGGGGGGATGTGGGGTGCGGTTAATGCTCCCCAGTGGG